AGTGAGTGCAAGGAGAGTATCGCCGATCTGCACAGTCTGCATAGGTAGTGTTCTTGGTTCTCTTCTGATGTTACCTGATAAATTAATTATATTAGCGTTCGTGTTGTTAAAATGGTCCTTCTCTTTCATCTTGAGACTTTTCATGACTTCTCTCTTCCATTAGGTCACGCTCATAAATAGAATGGCTTAATGTATCTTATAGACTCTATAATACATGTATAATTATAATGAGTTGGGCATTTTATTTCTGAGTGTAAGGTATTTGCTCCGTTTTTCTGCCGTCATTTCCACGTAGAAAGTTAGCCTAAGTTTACATCATAACAATACTATCGTTCGAGTAAGGATCCTTGTGCCTAAGTACTCTCTCTCTCTCTCTCTCTCTCTCTCTCTCTCTCTCTCTCTCTCTCTCTCTCTCTCTCTCCCTCCCTCCCTCCCTCCCTCCCTCCCTCCCTCCCTCCCTCCCTCTCTCTCTCTCTCTCTCTCTCTCTCTCTCTCTCTCTCTCTCTCTCTCTCTCTCTCTCCCCCCCCCCCCTTCTCATCTTCTCCGTTCATTCTTAAGTTCTCCATGTTCCCACGTCTTCCCTACAGCGAAGGTGTCACAATCAAATCTGAGCGTTCAGATTCTACATGTGGTGGGTATACGACGGGCATAATCAGAGAAGCTATCACGGCAACTCTCAGCGATCCTGCACGCCTTACTAGGTGAATGACCGGTGAGCACTGCTTGAAACGCCCAAGGCAAGGGAAAGAGCAACTTAAGGGGGAAAAAGTGGCAACTAGGCCTACCCTTTTTATCTCATTAAGACTGTTGAATTGAGCCAACTCCGTCCCTCTGTTTACAAGGATACCGTATCCCACCCAGCCCAGGTTAACCTTGACAGGCAGGACCGAAACAGCTTGAGGATCGGGTTAGTGTTGATGGGAACGTTAGAAATTGCATTGATTGAATCCAAAACTTTTTCGTTGTACCGAAACGCCGAAATTTAATTGTAATCTTATACAAAAACCTTCGTCCTAGCAGCACGTACCAGGTCTCCCCTCGGTAAAACGTTAGAAAAATGCGAAATGTTTGAGGGAAACAACCAGCATCGTGGTGTAGCGGTTAGCCACTTCGCCGTCACACGCAGAAGACGTGAGAGCCATTCCGGTGTAAGGAGGATTCTTTACAAGTATCTTGGTTTGTCAGCTGGGATGTTGCATTCTTCTCAGCCCTGGTTGGCCCTGATGGCAGGGTCGAAGCTCGCCTGCTATAATGATCTAAATTGTGTTATTGGGCAATAACTCCAACATTTAAAATTTTTTTTTTTTTTTTTTGGTAAGTGTTTTACGACTCTCGCAACTGCATAAGGTCATATGAGTGCGGCGCGGGACACATTGTACATTTTCAGTTGGAAGGACTTTTTGAATTTTGCCCGGGTGGCAGCCGAAGCCTACTCTTATCGATTTTGAACCGACGGGATCTTTAAGCACACGGGCTCTCCGGGGTTTTTCGCTTTTGCCCGAGACGGCTAGGTGTAGATCTTTTCTACCATAAGATCATGGGGTGTGTCTGAAAGACAGCAGTAAGAAGGAGCCACAGAGTAGCAGTAGAAAGGCTGAAGAAAAAGTCAGGAGCCCAGAGGAGGGGGCAAAGGAGGTGAGGGGGTGGGGGCAGAAAGTGGAGACGAAAGCAGACGACAGAACATTGCCAGAGAGCAGGAAAGGACGTGAAATGAGACAATTTTAAAGAAGAAAAATGTCCGTCGCTATTCGGGTTCGAACCCGGGACCTATTGAATGAGTTGCGACCACCTTAACCTACAGGCCACGAGAGCCCCCTCACCTAAATTTTTAAAAAAGCGAACATACCTTGTTAGTTGCGAGTAGCCTCCCGCGGACGCCACTGTTGTTTGTAGTCGTGTTGGGTGTCCCCGGGTTGTGTGGTCAGATACGAGGATCTTAACCACCAAACGGTAATATAATACATCATTAAAGTTCATACATGTCGGGCCAACATCACTGTGTGCAGAGGGCACTGGGTACGTGTACTGGTCGAGTTGGTGAAGACATTATATAGGTTCATGAACACAGTCTAATAATGTCAGTTTGAAGTTTTCTATGGATGGTCAGCGGGGTTTGCCTACACAGAAAATATCACAGGATCCAGTTTGCACTGCGGTCAGCGAGCAGAGATATTATACCTTGTGTATTTGAAACTGGTTGATGTTTGCTATACATTGTCTTACACGTACTGTATAGGCTGTCTAGGTCACTGTGAATATGCAGGGGCGGTTTGTGAACTGGGCAAGACCGGCGGTGCCTGTCAAATTTTTGTCACCTCTACTGTTGACAAGAGATTTATTGCTGATGATGATTTTCATTCAGTTTTAAGTAAATCCGAATAAACATGTATCAACATTCAAACAGCACCTTGCCGATTTGAAGGCGTTCAAATAGACAAGTGGGATTCACTGCTGTTTTGTCGCGACAGAGCCTCATTCCTTCACCTTTGTTTATCGCACCGGCTCGTAACTTTAAATCGTCTCCCGTCAAGCCGTCACGTCGCGGAACTTCGTACGAGGACAAACGAACACGGCGAGTACAGCGATGAAGTCAATCCGCTGGGCAAAAGGCATCGACTGCCCTTAGAGCGAATATAGCATCCCTTGGTTGCCAAATTGGCCTCCGTGTTGCTTACAAAATCAGTACATGTAATGAGACTGTCTTGAGTCTTGAGTCTTGAGCAGCACAGACACATGAAATATTTTATCAGCTCAATACATGTACTTATCATTCAGCCTTTCTCTACTATTAGTACTATCATCAGAACATTTATTGTCAGCATGGCACTAATCTTTTTTTATTATTGAATTTTTAACCACCTGTAGTTCCTAATTGGTGACTTTTCATCGCTTTCTCCCCACAAACAACGTACCTGGCCCATATGAGTCTAGCCGGCGAAAAGAGGAATCGTCTCGTGAAGATATATAAGGAGAATTATAACGAGGAGAGGCTCTCGGCTGTCAGAGTCTGGGCCGAAAACAATGGGCCTACCCCCTCCCTTCCCCCCCCTTATCCACTGTCACCCCAGCTAGACTCCAAGTTCTATAATTAGCATTTGACACACTTCCCCACTTTGTTACCACTGTGTTCTGAAAACTGAGGAGTGAGATGAAGAACGTTTGATTACATAAAGATAGAAAACTAACTTTGTCCAGCTTTGTATAATATCTGATTGTAGTCTTAATCTGCATGGGACAGCGTCATTGGTACAGTATCAATTGACTTTTTGCCATCATACAGTACTGTTCTTATTTTTACAGGTCGAGTGCACGTCGATATTGTGTGTGGGTGTGTACAAACTTAGTAGAAAGTAAAAGTCTTTGGTTAAAATACCGGAGGCCATGACCAGCAGTTCACTGCACTTTTCACTTTCAGTTTGTTTTCTAGAATAGACTCTAGTAGTGTTTCGGGGGCTCTCGTGGCCTAGAGGTTAAGGTGTTGGCCTCTCATTCAAAGGTCCCGGGTTCGAATCCGGGTAGCGACCGAAAAATTTTCTTCTCTAAAATTGTCTCCTTTCACCTCCTTTCCTGCTCTCTAGCAATGTTCTGTTGTCTGCTTTCATTTCCACTTTCTGCCCCCGCCCCCTCACCTCCTTTGCCCCCTCCTCTGGGCTCCTGACTCTTTCTGCAGCCTTTCTACTGCTACTCCTTGGCTTCTCCTTACTGCTGTCTTTCTGCCACACCCCTGATCTTCTGGTAGGAAAGATCTATACCTAGCCTTCTCGGACAAGGGCGAAAAATCTCGGAGGGCCCGTGTGCAGGTTGCGCACGTTAAAGATCCCTTGGTGGTCTAAAATCGATAAGAGTAGGCTTCGGCCGCCATCCGGGCAAAATTCAAAATTTCCTACCAACTGAAAATATTAGGAGTGTCCCGCGCGCTCATATGACCTATGCAGTTGCGAGCGCCGTAAAACACTTTACAAAAACAAACAAACAAGTAGTGTTTCTTTTTCTATGCCGTTCAAGTCTGTTTCTTGACACTACCATATTTCAGCTCTTTCACATTATATAAAAATGTTTACAGTGGTGTGTGTGTGAATGGGGAAGGGGGTGGGGTGGCGAAAGTAGTGGTATAAAATGAGGAGAGAGAGAGAGAGAGAGAGAGAGAGAGAGAGAGAGAGAGAGAGAGAGAGAGAGAGTATGTATTTGTGTGTGCGTTAGTGTGTGTGTGTGTGTGTGTGTGTGTGTGTGTGTGTGTGTGTGTGTGTGTGTGTGTTGTGAAGGAAGGGGGCGGGGGAAGGAAGAAAGAGTCTATGTGAATGATGGCCGGTCAGTTCTACATGTATAAACCACGAGCCGCCACTGTGAATAAATATACCAAATTTCCACCTGAGGAAATAAAGACTGTTTTCCTTCAATTTCTCATATATTCATACCGCACCTCATACGAATTGGCCTCTTGGTGTAAATGGAAGATAACAATAAATAATAAATGACAAATCACTTTCATTGATCTTTTTAAAGAAATTTGGGAAACAACGGCAAGCGTAAGATGCATCAGTCGATGATACAACAACGTCACATCACACACTTAAGAACATTGGAATTCTGTATAATCGTTTTTGTGTGAATAAAGAAAATATTATCAGGTGCATGCAAAACATTTGCGAAGCTGGTATCATGTTGGACCGCAGTGCCGAAGAGGCAACCGTTATAAATTCAAATCGGACCCGAACAATTCTTGAAATTTGGCAAGTGCAAAAACCTTCCACACGATGTTGTTCGTTGAATATATGAATATGTGACCTCCACCAATCCACCCATTTTCCCATCAGAGTTTTTATTGATTGACGTTTAATCGATTTGAAGAGACATGAACCTTCATTCTTGTGAGACAGGCTAACCGTAATTCTTATCGCTGTTCTATTTTTCGAGCAGGTAATAGTTCGGCAGAGTAGGTACATGAACCAACTTCATTCAAGAATGAAGGCGTTGAACATTTCCTGTATGGTATCTGCAGGTCTTTCTGAGAGGCCTACGCTGAACTGACTGGAGACCGTTACGTAACGACGTCTTGCAAACGTTGATGTGGCAGGCAGGCCAGCTCGTCCAGTTAGCTTTTGTACTAGTGGTTGGAAATTCAATAAAAACCTTCACCCCCCTCCCCTTAGGGACACATAAACAGTGTCGAATCTGTTCTAACATTCACCTGTCCAAGACAAACATCTGTACAAACGATCACTTCCCACCTTGCGTTAAAAAAAAAATATTCATTGAACCTGCCTAAGATGACCACTCCCCCCTCTCTACAGTGGATGGTTGTCTTAGACGAGATCATCGGTATATAATTTATGTATAAAAGCAATTTGTATGTGTATAAGTATGTATGTATAATGATTTGTCTGTCTGTTTGTCTGTCGGTGTGTCTGTCTGTCTATCTGTTTCTCTCCCTCTCTCTCTCTCTCTCTCACACACACACACACACACACACACACACATACACGCACACACACACACACATTTATAGGCCCTAAATGATAAGACTTATGTGGAAGTTACAGTCGAAACTGTCTGTATAGTATAAGGTTTTACGGCGCTCGCAACTGCTAAGGTCATATGAGCGCGAAACTGTCTAAGACCGCCATCCATTGTCGAGTAAAGTGGTTGTCATAGACAGACGAACGTCTTAGATTGTGCCATTATGACACTATAGAAACATGCTTTTTACATAAATACTTGATATAGGCCAATCTCCCTTCATCTTTATCTTTATTATACGTGTCAAGTTAACGTTGTGAGAATCTCCGATTCCAACTCATTTACTGAATTTTGAATGTAGTGTGCAAACCACTACAAAGACCATGGACTACACATTAAGAGGGACCCGAGTTTTATTTTTTTCTGAATAAAACTTTAGGAGCTTGTTTTAATAGAGATTTTACGGCGCTCGCAACTGCATAAGGTCATATGAGCGTCAGGAGATTAGAGGTGTTACAAGAGAGTCACAACATAAAAAAGAAGTGGAGATAAGGACGATAGATGTTTGATAGGAAAGAAGAAGCAAACCACACCAGAGCACCCGCCAACCACCCACCTTTAGAAGCTGTGAGGGCTTTTTTTGTTGGAAAATACATTAATCAGGGGGCCCGCTTCTTGAAAAACAACTGGTCAATGGTGTGAGAGGTGTTAATGCCCCCCCCCCCCCTTTCATAAAAAAACAAAACAAACTACAACCCCAAATTAACAAAAAATAGCACACACAAAAACACACACACACATACACGCACACACACGCGCGCGCGCGCACACACACACACACCCACACACAACAGCTTCGATTCTCACCCGTCGAAAAAAAAACCAAACAAAAAACAAAAGACAAAACAAAACAAATCTCAGATATAACTTAATGAAATATTAACTTGGACTAAAATCCTAAATAAATCATCCCAACTAAAAAAACTCTAACAATCTAAATTCGCTTCTATTCATAAATGAGGCACCAGTGTAGCGCCCATGTCAAAGCCATAGATACAAGCCGCACCCATTCTACCATAATTTACAAACAAGTATACATATTTTGTATTTATTTTATTGACGAGTCTCGTCCCCCGTAGTATTTGATCAATTTGTTTTGACGAGTGGCACCACCTGGTGAGGTCCCGCAGCCCTTTGCTGCTTGTCGCGTGGACTGTAATAAGTCGTGGCACTGTCCTCGGCACAGCGGGGGTCTGCTCGTCATGTTTGTCGACAGACAGTTAACACACACACACACACACACACACACACACACACACACACACACACACACACACAAATCGTATCAATGTCACAAGCACTTAGGTAGACAGAAAACACAAGGCATGGGCTCAGAGACTGAGGAGACAGAGCTATTAGAATGCACCCGGAAAACAATGAGACATTTATATATCGTGTGAGTTAGTTCGCGTCACTTCCGGAGCATGTTGTGGTTTTCTAGCGGAGGTCGTTACAGGGAAATGGTCGACGTTTTCACCGTCTCGATAAAGAGCTGAAGGTAGAGAGCATCTTTTATCTGTTGCAGCTGCTACTGTTATTTAACGGTCTTCCTCGGGTGTTGCATTTTACGGCTTCCCGTGGTTGAGTAGTCTTTGGAA